GGAAGTGATCCGGCGTTAACGCTTCGAGCTCGTTCGGACGGGAAGACACATATGGGAGCAGACAGTTGTTCAGAGACTGCTCATCTACACAAAACGTGGTAGAAAAACATGGTAAATATGTCTTCCCCATTGTGTTTTCGTGTTCCTAGTATTCATAAAAAAACTCTTTTGATGCTCCATACGAGCCTTTCTCTATACCACCATAATGAAGGGCACTGCGTTGATTTAAATTTCTAGGCAAGGTTTCAATGACCAAACAGAACCCAACCATGGCAATTCCAGTTCTCGATGCAGGAAATCAGCTCTATGGCCGAGCCTACAAAAAAGTATCATTGTCAGAGCAGATGACGCAAGGCGTTCCTCTCCGAGCAGTGAAGTATGCTATTCCTATTACACGGTAGTTTGTATCACTTGACGGAATAACTCTCAGATGAACACAAGTGAATAATTAACCAGATCTGAGTTTTTCTGAGCTTCGTCGAATCATTACGTCAAATGGAACGAAGTAATCGACTCCGCAGCTCCTGAATAGTCGTTGTCGGTAACCCAGTCGCCCGCGCGGAAATTCAGTCATCATAGGCAAAATTATTTTTGTTTTTCGTTTTCAACTTACGGCGCATGGTTGCTGTTTTAAACGGAGGGCAGTACGGAGCCTGAAGACAACATACCTTAGTTGTGTAAGAGCACGCAGATAAGAAGCACTTTGATGATGATTCCTTTGGTGAATGAACCTTAGTAGCATCACTACAAACACATGGTAATTATCTTACATGAAGGGATGTTTAACGTTAATTTCAACGGCAGACAGACGGCGAATACGACCAGTTGAACGGACTAGACCATTGGGACCGATAAACGGTAAAAAAGAGTTTTCTTACTGGACTGTTTAATGTGAATTGCCTTGATTTCGTTGGGAACGATTCTGATTGAGCCAGAACCAATAGTTTTTCCTTAGCTCATTATAAATCGTACGGATCGGTTATCGAACAAAAGTTGCGGTTTTGACGGTAATGAGGTGATAACATCGGCATAAATGCGACATTTTTTGAGTTTTCGTGAAGAACTAAAAATTTTTTCAGACAAAAATTAGATCGGTGGTTTTAATTGTGCAAGTGAAATTGGAAGCTTGTTCAAAACCTCTATGCAAATCACTTGAATGTCCTTTGAGTCGAATGCCTGTCAAAACATTTAAGTCAAGTTTGAATGGCGAATCTCTAAAACAAGTTTTCAAAAAGTGTCGAGTTTTTACCAAATCGTTTTCTTTTAGTGCAACCGCAGTTATTACGCGGATGCCGTTATCAGTTGAACTTTTTCACTAGATACATGGAACTACTCAATAATGGCAGTCGCAAGTGTTATCAGTCCGCATGTTTGGAATTTCGATTTCAATTGTCAAGCGTTTCCCGAATACAAGTCTCTGACGGCTCTCCAGTAAGGCTGCTGGCATTTCAGGCTTCAAAATAGAAAGAGTTTCTACCAGCGCTACTAAACTGTTCCAAAAACCAAAAAAAACTTAGATGCGTATGTGACGCAGGAATGCAACTGAGCAAACTGTTTAAGAGTCAATTTAATTGTAAAGCGGTGAAACACTGGAAACTTTTACTCCCATGCTTACTTATAGAAAAGTTATTCCAGTCATGCCACAAAACCATATCATTTTGGGAAGTTAACTATAGATTATTGATTTATATTTTTTGCACTATTTTCTAATGAAGAAGGCAAAGTTCAAAAATTTCTTTAAAAAAAACTAATTAAAACCTTTTACAGCAGAAAAAATTTCCTTGGGATCTATCTCCTTGCTTTTGGATTTGTTCTTGTCTATCAGAAAAGAGAGAACTTTTTTCTAAGGTAAGGTTTTTATAAATGTGGCTAACGCTACTTTAAGTTAGTTAAATGTAAAAGTGAGGCTTTTAAAAAATAATAATTTATGATACATCTCTGGGTGGACTGTAGGATTATGTCTCTGTCTACACGGTATTGTACACTCAACGGTTACTGGTTAAGAAGTTACCTTTAAGGTTTGAAACGTTATCGGGCTGAAACGGAAACGAACATGTGGAGTGTTTTGATCTGAAATTTTGTCAACCCCTAGATGTAAAACCTGAGTTAAGGAATCAATTTGAAACAACATACATAAATACGGGCAGTGATGTTAGGAGAAGGTTTTTGGGGTTCATAGGCATCGTTTTGGTTACCGTCAGATTCAAAAAACCGGTACTAGCACAGTCGAGTTGAGTAAACTTTTATAAGCTTCAGACAATTCTTTGGACTAACATATGAGGTAAGAAATCGAATAAAAAAACTCACTCAACTGAAATGAAGTCGGGGCGCAGGCAACAATGTTGTTTTTCCTAGAACATAAATATCCAAATCTTTGCTATTTACTACACTTTGGGAAAAAATTTGAGTTTGAGTCGAACTGTTTCTGGGTTATTAAAAATGTTTTTTTAAATTCCTTTGAAAATTAGTTAGATAAATTTTCTAGCAGTGTTCCAAAATTTTTGGAGTTTTTGTTTAAATTGGATTAACAATGAATTAGGAAAAAGGCTAGTTTTTGTTTGTTTTGTTCTCTAATTTTATCGTACAAAAATTTACCGCAAAAAAATTGGTTAACGTTTTTTTTTTTACAATTTTACATTCTTTTTTTGGAAACTTTTGGTCTTCAAGTCTTGATTTGTCTTGGCTCAGAAACTTTTGAAGTTTTTTTTCCTATCTTTGAACTGTCAATTGGGTCCTCGTCTAGACAATCGTAGACATAGAAGATTGCGGTGTAGATTGTGCGTCAATCGTAATAAGAAGTTTGAAGCCAAGATTAACCCAGCTTGACTTGATTCTTGACTGCTCAGGCTTAAAATCCATATTTCGTTCCCCATTCTTGCATGGAATGGCATCCATATTGTAGCCGCAAAATTTCGTTGGTGGTCAAAATTTTTGAAGTGACCGGTTCACCGGTTTAAAGTGGTAAACCCATTAAATTACAATTGATCGCAGTCACTCACGCGAAATAATATACCAAGTTCGAAACCAATAGTAAAACTAAAAATATCCTGAACTCTGCAGTATAGATATAATTTATTTTTGTCTTTTGGTAATTTTTAAACAAGATTTGGCAAAATTGGCCATTTTGTTAAAAACGTGATTGTACAAATTGTTGAGCCTAATTCAATTTTGATTTCAAGTTTGTTTTTAATGAGCCTGTCACAACAATTAGATTATATTTGCCGATTCGCGGCACCAATTGCTCCTTTGATTCTATTCAAGTCGTTCAAACGGTCGGGAAAAACTCAAAAAAACTTCTTTAAAATCAAGGTTATCAGAATTCATGCTTATGATATGATGTTCATGAGGTACTTTACATGTAGAGCGTGCTGCAAAAATTTATTCGCTTGTTCACGCTGACTCGTATTTATTGCAATGAAGAATTTTTTCAGAAATTCAATTTCAGAAGAATAAATGAAAGGATGGGGACTTTGAAACGAGCCAACCCGTATAGACAAAAAACGGATTGCAATAGATTTTATAGAGATAATGTAGAAGAGAAATAAAAAAATCAATTTGTATCGTTTTAAAATGGATTTAGTTTGATGCAAAAATAGGGCTTAAGAATCAATTTTAATGCATTATAAATCAATTTGAAACTTCTTTGTCATTATTTTGGTTTCTTTTTTTCCGATTTTTAGAAACAATAAAACCGATTTGAATCGATTTAAATCGATTTCAAAAACCTTTTTGTGAACTAATTTAGTGAAGATTATATACTCTTTACTTTCAGATTTTCTAGACTATCAAACAGCAGAGAAATAGCAGAAATAAAATTTTAACGTATGCTTACTGTTTGACTTTTCAATCTGATGTTTGGAGTAAAAACAAATTATGCAGATAACTAATATCTAATTTTTCGGCATTAAAACTGAGTTTTCTTAGTTGGATTTTTTGATAAAATGCTATTTGTTGAACAAAAATGAGCCTAGAACGTAGATAGTGAAAAAATTATTTGAAAAACGTTTGCATAGTTTTACTTTTCATTACCGCGGAAACTCTTAGTTTTGCATAGTTTGAAAGGGAATCCCTTAAACGCAATAGTTTGCGTTAAAAACTCTTCTCGAGTGAATTTTGCCTCCTGCAACTCTGATGGATACTTTCCTGAGCACACAAAATTGCTCAAGCTTCAAAAGAAAATGAACACTTACGTTAAATCAGTTTTGTCGAGATTTCGGCGATCTTCGGGAAAACCCATTCAAACCCATTTTGGGCAATAAAATATTTTTTGTTTCCATTGTTAAAATCCATTTTTTCCATTTTGAGCCGATTTACGTATCTAAATGAGTTATCGTAGATCGAGTTCTAAGCAGTAATTTGTCTGCATAAAATCGATTTAAATCGAATTCAATCTCAAGTCTGTCAACGCGGAAATGCCCCCATACACTGGTTGAGGTGATCCAATTACGCTAAGATGGTA